AGGGGGGGGGGGGGGGGGCACGCTTTAAATACGTCACTGGTCAGAAACTATTCCATATTTCAAACGTGTTTACATTTAGCAGGTAAAACTCTTTTTGGGTCAAAGATATGGCATCATTTGCTTGGTGGTCGTGAATTCTAATCTCGGTCGGGTGTGAAAATTTGGTGACCTTGAATAAGTTATCTTTTATTCCAGCTTACTCCGATGTAAATGGACATTTATAATCAGGGAAAGATCTATTCCAATGATTTGGCCAAGGACCCGCTGATGGGATCGTCGTGAATCTAAATTTCTATCCTTGAAAAAATAGGTTTCTCTTATTAAAGTGCCATTATTATAATTGACAAAAAGACAAATTGAAGCCATATCCATACCTGTTGACGATCTTTTGGGTCGTAATTTGCCGATTCTTTAAATTCCTTTCTATAAATAGTATCATATTTATAGTAAGATTTCCTTGAATTTGATGTTTTAGGAGGAAATAATGTCTTGCTTTCATCATTTATTAATCTTAATTTTCTCGCCATCCAATTGCCTGGGGGCAGCTGAAAACCTTCATCAACGCCGGCCATTTTTCTTGCTTCTTGTCTAGTAGAGGAAACCTTTCACACAATATTTTGAAGAATAATTATCTGCACCGCTATAACTCCATGTTAATTAAAGAAAACTACAAATGAAGTAATTTTATGAATGTAATGAACACCAAGTTGGTATCCAGGACATGGATAGATTAGACATGCGTAAATCTACAAAACGTTTAAATTGCTAGTCTAGCTGTTCCACTTGGCTGCCACCATTGTTCAGTTTGATACATTTGTTTGATATAGTGTATTAACGTTTAATTAAAGACTATATTATACGATCTTAAGATTAATAAGATTACAGTCTAAAGCTGGGTGTACCCGTTTAGATTAATGCCGGGTTTATCAGATTACCTGATTAGTGAAGTGTTCAAGCGAATGACTTACATGGAAGCTAATCACGAAGACTGAAACAGTTCTCATTTTGTGGCGGGAGCGGCTCTCGATAACACTCCCAGTGGTTAGCAGACCTTTTCTTAGACTCTAGATGTGTTTCTCCTCATTCTGCTTCCTTTTTTTTCTTTTTTTTGTTGCGCTTTGCAAATTCCAGAATATCATATGTTTGGCGTTGTGACTAGCGTTCTTTATAGAAGAAAATGAAAGCTTGAAACCAGACAAATTTACTTTGTGCTAACATTCTAGTTCACCTAACTGGTTTGCAATGGTGTTTACACCATGTACCATTGGAAATTCCCAGGCAAACCAAACAGGCCTGTTCATTTTGTTGAATACAACAGTAGAAAATGACGTCTATGATCCATATCAAAGGATTACAGACATCTGATTAGACTCTGTATGCGAATAGATGATTGATTGGTAGATGACAAGTTAACGTTCGCTTCCAGCGTATTCTGATATCGCAAACTAGGTAGTTGTTGGTAGATGACAAGTTAACTTTCGCTTCCAGCGTATTCTGATATCGCAAACTAGGTAGTTGTTGGTAGATGACAAGCTAACGTTCGCTTCCAGCGTATGCAGATATCGCAAACTATGTAGTTGTTGGTAGATGACAAGTTAACTTTCGCTTCCAGCGTATTCTGATATCGCAAACTAGGTAGTTGTTGGTAGATGACAAGTTAACTTTCGCTTCCAGCGTATTCTGATATCGCAAACTAGGTAGTTGTTGGTAGATGACAAGTTAACTTTCGCTTCAAGCGTATTCTGATATCGCGAACTAAGTAGTTGTTGGTAGATGACAAGCTAACGTTCGCTTCCAGCGTATGCTGATATCGCAAACTATGTAGTTGTTGGTAGATGACAAGCTAACGTTCGCTTTCAGCGTATGCTGATATCGCAAACTAGGTAGTTGTTGGTAGATGACAAGCTAACGTTCGCTTCCAGTGTATGCTGATATCGCAAACTAGGTAGTTGTTGGTAGTCGTAGTAGTTGGTAGTTGGATTGTGTATGTGATAAGTGGTTGGTTGGTAGTTAAAGTTCGCTTTCAGCGTATGCTGATATCGCAAACTAGGTAGTTGTTGGTAGATGACAAGTTAACCTTCGCTTCCAGCGTATTGTGATATCGCAAACTAGGTAGTTGTTGGTAGTCGTAGTAGTTGGTAGTTGGATTGTGTATGCGAATAGCGAGACTCAGGGTTTTATAACTGATATGTTGAAAAATGAAAACCAAGATATGTAGCACAACCTTAAACCATTTAAACATATTTATTGTCTGCTTATGTCTAGCAAATGATTAAGTAAATGAACGCCATTGTTCCTCTTCCACAGAAAATTAAAAACCTGGAGAGTATTAGGAAAGGAATCTTAATAAACAATGTTTAATCTGGTAGAGCAATAAATATTATGTTTACTTCTTTCCACAAGATTTTTTCCTTACTTGTTAACTTCCTAGATTTTACAAAAGGTTTATTAGTAGAATGCCTGCCAGGTTTATTAGAATATCTGATCAGATATAGATTGTCTACTGGAATTCTATGGGTAATTGTTGAAACAGTAACAATGACAAGTTGATTTTAAAAGATTTTAGGACTTTTAAACTGTAAAGATTATTATAGTCGGCTTAATAAAAATCCGTACAAGCAGACACTTCCTGCTTCCTCAATCAAAAATCTTGTCCAAAGATTGGCAAAATCGGGAGTAAAGGTAGTACAGTAGTGGACTCCTCCAAAGAGAAGTGCCATCAGGTGTTTCGAAAAGAGCAAGCATGGTTTGCTTCGCGCTGGAGCAATAACAGATAACGAAGTTTTATACCAAAATTCCAATTGGAACAGAACAAAATGTATTACTTAAAAACACCTAACACAATTTGTATGTATTATTTATCTACTTATTGATATACTGGTATTACGTACGTGGTAAATAGCCACTGCCTTTCTTCAAACCCTAAATAAGTAGAAAGAACATAAGGGATGACACAGAGTGCCGAAGGACTTAACGGTGATACGCTTCTCTGGGAGATATTCTTTTATGCCAATAGATAAATGGAAAGCTAGATTTCATGAAAGGTTAAATTAATAGTTATGGATTATCTACAACATACATGAACGAATTGGTTGCCTGGTTGCCTTGAGTCAACAAAACCTTGAAGGTGAACTAGAATTATTATAATCTATTTACAGAAATTTGTAAAGAACCGATGACTTCACAATTGCAAACATACAGTTCAAATTCTCTTAAATGAAAGCTAAATCAATTGTGAACAGTTCTTAACAAGAGATAGGCTATCCTAATTGTTTATTCTACTCCGGATGCATCCATTCTAATCCACATAATTGAGTATGTGGTGGGAATTATGAGTGTAATTTGTTATTATTACGTGATGAGGGCAATTCTTTCACTTTGTACCATGTTAAGAAATTTGAGGTGTATGGGGATGAGGGTGAGGGAGAAAAGTCTCTATTTATTTTTTGGAAGGGGGGTGTGGGGCATGACATTGATTAACATTGAACTGAAACTGAATAAAACACAATTGTGTGGCATGCTGTCATTGTCTCGACCACGAAAAATCCGTGGTTCACTTTAATTTAACACTATTAACTCGGTCTTTTCATACGAGAGAGGTTGCCAGTACTCGTTTGTTATTCTCGAGTTTCGTGTGTACTTCAAAAACGTAAAAATGGCTGTGTGCAAGCGTTTGGTTGGCCTGTTTGCAAATCACATGACATCCCTCGAGGTTCATGCTAGGGAAACACGGTAGAAATATGATGTACCAGTTCCGGAATCTAATCGAGTAAGCTAAAGATCTAATTAGGTCACAGCCAATATCGATACAGAACAGTTGTTTCTTCAGAATCAACAATTAATATCTAAAAAATCTCCACTTAAAACTTACTACAAATCAATAGTTCATGCATAAAACATTTTAATTTCCTTTTTAACTCAGAATGTCCAGAAAACATGAAAGATTAATTAAAATGTTTTCCATGAGACAATCTACATTATTTACCTGGGCATGTTTAATGAGCCTTAAGTAGATCTCAATCAACCTCTTTCTATTCGATTAAACTGAGCTATTGTACCTTCTATAACGAGGTGAATATGAGGGGTATAATTATGGCTTATTATCGATGATAAACTGTTGATAAAGTAACGCAGAAATACATTTAAAAACAGTAAGGTTATGTTAGGCAGTGTCATATTTTCAGAAAACAAGGATTGGTCAGCTGAATAACGTCTTAATACTTGAAAGGTCAAATAGTCATTTTATGATTAAAACTCTTAATCATATGCAATAAGAACATAATGATAAGATTAAGAATACATGATAAGTCATTAGACACACCAATTAATCAAAAGGTTTTCTTAATTTGTCAAGAAAACCCATCTTTAAAGGGATTATAATTTTTTTTTAATGTGTATCGGGACACTGATAGCATCAATTTGCGCAATTCCAATTTTCAGTCAGACGTATGTTGTTCCTGCAATTCAACTAAAACGAAGTGTTTGATCACGACACTAATCGCAAATATAGGTCTTTCACGATTAGTGACGTCATCAAACATTTCTTTTTAGTCGAATTGCAGGAACCACAGACGTCTGATTGAAATTGGAAAGGTGCAAATTGATGCTTTCAGTGTCACCGATACACATAAATTTTTAGAAAACCTCTTTACAATCCCTTTAATGGATAAAATTCTTGAAATATCTGTTTTCACAACTGAAAGCTTTTAATTTCTTCTGTCCGCATCACTTTCTATGGTGAACACAAGCAAACGATTTATTTGCAATATAAAAACATAGGATTTGAAGCTCAAGGAACGATTCGAAGAAAGGAAATGTCATTCTAAATTCTAAATCGTTGACCTAGCTGCCTCTTGGAAAATTTAACCGACTTTAAAATTGTCGTTGCTGATTATGTTCTCACAATTTTCACAGCTTGCTATCCAATTCAATCATATGTTATTATAGTCTATGACTTGAGATAGGATCTACCGTTTGAAAGCCATTTCGTGAACAGTGGCGTCTCTAGTCTTCCGAGAATAGTTGTACAAATAGGGGACATGCTGACTCAATAGGAGAGGGGTGAAGGGGGGGGGGGGGGTGGGGCTATGGAGTCAGAATTCAATATACTGTAGGGCCTAACTCTGTTGACGCATCATAGTCGCAAGCCTCTTATACCTCCATTAGCGCCGCCCATGATTACAGTTTATCTCAACCTTTGAGACAACCTTGAACAAGAGAAGAATCTTTTTTACCCAAAACATAATTTAAAACCACATTCATTGTGATAATTGGATGTTCTGTCATATCACCATGCTATTAGTTGTTGATAGTGTGTCTGAGTTTTGACTCTCATATTTGCTTTGTTCCATTAAAAACAACAACCTGTTCGTTGATGATCACTGACTATATTCAATTGTCGAGACATAAGACAAATTAAATAGTTATCTTACAGACTGAAAGGCGTTATGAAGTTAAGACAACGACAAATTTGATGCGTGTAAAATCAAAGCTCAAACGATATTTATTAAACTTCAATGAATCAAAAATTCGAAATGAAAAATGTTATGTGGGATTAAGGGATAGTTTAATA